GGTGATAGATGTTAACTAGATTTATCATGGTGATCATTTCACAATATATACATATATAAGATTATTATGTTGTACATCTGAAACTAACATGTTACATGTCAATTACACCTCAATAAAAAAAATCTATTAAAGAGAAAAGAAAGCATAGAGATGAGAAGAATGAGAAATTGGGAAAAAGAACAGGCTAATTTGAAAAAGAACTGAAACAATATCTAGAAATAAAAATATAGTTATTGAAATTAAAATCCCAATGGACAAAAAAATAGAAATATTTAAAGTATGGAAACATTTCAAGAAACTAGAGAAAGAATACCATATTAAACCCAAGGAAATAGAACATAGGAAATAATGAAGAAAAATGCAGAAATGATGGATTAGAAAGTAATGGAGCCAACTAACAAAAGGCTGTTCTTTGAAAAGATTGATTTAATTGACAGTTTTATAGGTATCATCAATTACCAAAAAAAACAGAAGTAAGTGATATTAGTTAATATTGTACAAAATATAGATTCAGAAGAAATTTAAATATTATGAGAGAATACTATAAATATCATTAGCAAATGGTGGACAAGGATAGGTTTCTACATAAAGATATATTTCATCTAATAAACTCAGAGGGAATGATAGAAATAGAAAATTAACATTGTGTAACCCTTAATTAATTAATGGATAAATATGCTAATCTTCAAAGACTGCAAATATCAACATGAAGGGAGACAGACATTAGGTTCCTCATAATGAAAGTTCACAGGATCACCTATGGAGTGGTCTTTTCAAACAAAAAATGAGACAGAAAAAGTTAAATCTTAATCTGATCAAACTTCTACTGATTAAAGAAATATAGGGGGAGAAGGACACCAGCATTGCAATCAGCAAAATCCTGGCCATATGAAACTGGACAGAACATAAGATGTGCTTTTTTTCCGACAAAAAAATGACAGGGAAAAAGAGGTAACGTGTGGTGGTGGGGGGAGGAGGATAGATAATGAAAATAAAAAGCAATGACAATGAATAGATTTTATTTGATCCTAATTCAAGGAAAAAACATTAAAAAATATGTCAGTCAGGTAAATGTGAAAAATAATTGGACATTAATGATATTAAGAAGTAATTTTTTAAGATAGGATATGCGTAATTGGTTTATGCTTCATAAAGGATACCTATCTTTTAGAAACAGATACTGAAATATTTAAAGAGGAGATGGTATGATATCTAAAATTTGTTTCTCATTATTTCTGTGGCAGAGATGGGTGTAGGTATGGGTATAAATGGAACCGGATTAGCCATGTATTGACGATTGTTGCTTCTGGTGTCAGGTATATTGGTTTTATAATACTATTGTCTCTACTGTTGTTTATGCTTGAGAATTGCTACAATAAATAGAATATAGACGTAGCCATTCAGTTTGAAACCCCAACTGAACTAGACTTTACTTAGAAAAATCTTAGTTGTTACTCAACTGGTCCAAACAGAAATAGAAAACTGTAATTGAGAAATACAAACTGAAACAGTCCTTGAAGCTCTAGCGACCTTCAAATGTTCCAGGACAAGGCAGCTGGAGGCCAGCTCTACCAAATAATAAGCAAAAAATTAACCACAGTCTTGTCTAAACGCATCTAAAGCATACAAAAAGATGGGAAATTTTTCAACTCATTTTCCCAGGCTAGCTCTCCTTGATAAGAAAACCAGCTGAGGACACTCTGAAGCGAGAACACCTGAGCCAAGGTCACCCACATACAGGCAAAGATCATAAATAAATTCTTGGAAGGTTCAATATAGCATTGAATTAAATAGGAAAAAAAAGGCTGAATCCAAGAAATGTAAAGATGATATAACATTAGAAAGAAAACTGCCTAAAATATTACCACATTAACAGACAAGATTAAAATAGGCATTTGATCAGCTTTTGAAAAAAAATTCAAGACCAATACATAATAGCATTTAGCAAACAAACATTAGAAGAATTCCATTTCCTAAAATCTATAGCAAACAAACTTAAATGTAAAATGTGAAATGTTAATAGCATTCCCATTAATGTAAGGAACAAGACATAGCAGTAGGTTATCATCTCTGTTGTTCAAAAGTGGACCAGAATGCATATCCAGAGGATAAGAATACAAAAACAAATAAAGGTTAGGAATATTAAAAAGAAATAGAAATTATTTGTTGTAAATGTGATCATCATTTTAGAAAATTCAAAGGAAAAGGCCATGGATTATCCAAATAACTAAGTGACTTCATAAAGCTGGTGTATAGAGAACTATAGTACAATCAAGAGCTTTACTATCCAAAGCAGTAATTATTAGAACATGTATATAATATATTTGTTGTAAATGAGAGTCAAAATTAAAAAGAATTTCACTACACTGTGCAGTATTAGATAAGATCAAAAGACCTGGGTCTCACAAAATTATGCAGATCTGCCTCTTCCTTGTAGAAAGTAGATCTTCTCAAACAGAAAGTTCCCCAAAGTTGAAGTTTGACTAGTGGAGAGATCCCATCATCACCATGCATTTTCTCTGACAGCTCAGAACCTGTCCTGGCCCCGATACCTTGTGCTGCAGCTTCTGGATCTCACATCACGCCCGGGATGCGGATCCATTGTTCGCCAGGGTTTAAGCTGAGAAACCACCCGGAAGTTACAGGGAGGTGACAGTCCTCAAAGAGCCTTTAATCAATGAACCAGGAGCCAAAATGAGGACCCACCTCCAAGGACAGGACTTTAAATACCACTCACACTACGACAGAGTCACGACCTTTGTCGTCCCACCCCTGCTGTCAGCCCTGGGAGGCCCCAGGCAGAGGTAGCTGGATGTGTCGCACACTGACTTCCGTCTTTGGAGTCTGTAGGAGATGCGACTGTCGTGAGAGGGTCGGCATTCGGCGAGCAGAGGGAGGAATCCAGGCTCTGCCAGAGGTGAGGTAAGGATATTGAGTAAGGTTAGGATATTGAGTAAGGTTTGAGAGAATCCCCTATCCCAAAAGACAGAAGGCCTCACAGTCCTGCCCCTGCCGTTAACCATAGAAGGTTCTAGGCAGGTGTCGTGGAATGTATTGTCCTCCGAATTCTCCTTCTGGGAACTCAGAGAAGTAATAGCCTTAGACCAGGGTATTGGCATAAAGCCAGCAGAGGGAGGAATCCAGGCCCTGTCAGGAGTAAATGAAGGATCCTATGTGAGTTCGGTGGAACATCCCCTCCCCCATAACAGAGGAGTCACAGAGTCCGGCCCCTGCTATCAGCCCAGGGAGACCCCAAGCAGGGGTGGCTGGAAGTGGCTTACCTGACTTCCGTGTCTGGCCGCTCCAGAAGGTGAGGATATTTGACCAGGGTGTCTGCCTCAGGCCAGCAGAGGAAGGAGTCCCAGGGTCTGCGGGGAGTTAATGGATGCCCCTATTTGCATTCTGGGGGAAACTGCCTCCCCCGAACATTGGAGGCCTACAGAGCCCCACCCCTGGCATTGCCGTAAGGCCCAGGTGCCCCCTCACTTTACCTTATGGTGGTCGTGGGGGGGAGAGGTGCATAAGAGCCTTTGTCTAAGATTAGGCGATTCAAATTAGCAGAAGGAAGAGTCCTAGGGCTGGCTTGGAGTTAGGTTCAGAACCTTGAGCAAAAAACCAAGGGGAATTCCTCAGGACAAGAGGGGCCCACAGAGCACTACCCATACTATAAGCCCTCAGCCGGGCTGTCGGGCTAAGAGTTCCCTCACTTTATCCTCAGTGGTCAGAGGGAAATGTGGGCCCTATTAGAAGGAGGTGACTTAGGCCCTTCTAGAAGTCAAAGGAGGACTGAGGGGGATACACAGAATCAGGTTCTTCCTCTGTGGTCAGCCTTGGGCAGCCCTGGGGAGATCTGTCATTATGAGTGTCCCCCAAATCTCCCTGCATATTCCAGGATATCAGGTGGAGGAGAGCCTTGGTCTCATTGTTGTAGGCCTCAACTCTGCAGAAGGGAGGATACCAGGCAAAGGGAGGAGCCATGATAAGGAACCTAAGTATTGAGGGAACCCTCATCACAGAACAGAGGGTGTTTCTTTTTTTTTTTTTTTGAGGAAGATTAGCCCTGAGCTAACTGCTGCCAATCCTCCTCTTTTTACTGAGGAAGACTGGCCCTGAGCTAACATCCATGCCCATCTTCCTCTATTTTATATGTGGGACGCCTACCACAGCCTGGCTTTTGCCAAGCAGTGCCATGTCCACACCCGGGATTCGAAACGGTGAACCCTGGGCAGCCGAGAAGCAGAACGTGTAAACTTAACTGCTGTGCCACCAGCTGGCCCCCAGAGGGTGTTTCACAGAGCCCTACATGTGATGTCATCCCTGGCAGGGGTCCCCGGAAAAGATGTTAGACTGAGACCTCCCTAAACTCCTCCTTAGGACTTTCAGGGATGTGAGGGCCCCGCTTCAAGGCGATACGTCTAAGCTCAGCTGAGGGAGGAGTCCCAGGCCTTGCAAGAAGCCAAGGTGAAGACTCTGAGTGAGGAGTGAGAACCCTAATTATCCCAGGATGGAGAGGGTCCCACATAGCTCTGCCATTGTTGTCATCCCAGGGTGTCCCTGCGCAGGCGTGTTCAGATAAGATTCCTCTTCAGTTCCTCCTCCAGTATGTCAGAGAGGTGGGGGCTTTGGAATGAGAGGTCGGCATCAGAGCACCTGAGCAGAGGACCTCAGGTCCTGCCAGAAGTCAAGGTAATGGTCCTGAATGTGAACTCAAAGACCTGCTATTCCAGAACTGGGGAGGCTCCACAGGGCCTGGACTTGCCAGACCTGTACCAGTTCCAGTAAGACCCAGGTAGGGTTGAAGAGCTGTAGCCTAAGGCAAACTCTAGTTACTTCCACAAAGTCCTCAGGGGACAGGCTGATCAGAGAAGAGAAGCCGTGTGGGTTCCTAGAGCAGTGCCCTCAAGGAAACCTGCAGAGATGGCTGTCGATAAAGCCCAAGGTGGTATCTCCCTGCTAAAGGGTATCACGCCATTTCATCCTCTTTCCTACAGGTCACCAAATCATCTACCCTCTTTCCCACACCCCTGCCTGCTGTCCCTGATCACAGTCATCATGCCTCGGGGCCAGAAGAGTAAGCTTCGTGCCCGTGAGAAACGCCGCCAGGCTCGAGAAGAGCTCAAGGAGCTGGCAGGTGCTCAGGCCACTGCACCAGAAGAAGAAGAGTCCCCTTCTTCGCCATCTCCTAGTTTCAAAGATGTTCCCCAGAGCTCATCTGCCACTGAAACACCCAGCAATCCTCAAGTGCCTGAGAGAGTCCGCTCCACCACTACTACTGCTGCAGCTGTTTCAAACACAAGATTTGATGAAGGTGCCAACAATCAAGTGGAGGAAAGACCAAATGCATCACAGGCCCAGGATACCCCTAAGCACTGGCACAAAAGCCATATAGAAGAGAAAGTTACTATGTTGGTGCATTACCTTCTGCACAAGTATCAAATGAAAGAGCCCATTACAAAGGCAGACATGCTGAAAAATGTAATCCAAGTATATAAGAATCACTTCCATGAGATCCTCAAGAAAGCCTCCGATCACATAGAGCTGGTCTTTGGCCTTGATGTGAAGGAAGTGGATCCCAACAGGAACATCTACGTTCTTGTCAACAAACTGGAGCTAGATTACGATTCAAGAGTGAATGATAACAGAGGCATGCCCAAGACT